CAAAGATAGACCAATCGGATGCGAGCCACACTGTGCAATGACCATATTTGGTCGACACAGGTTGACGTTGCCGGAGCAATAAAAGACTGCTTCCGACCGTGTAAAACACAGTTGCCGCATTTGTTTTTCCTCGGTGTATACTTTATTCCATTCGGTGAACACTGAACGATGGCAGACGAAGAAGTTCAAGCTCTCGTTGTGGACAATGGTTCGGGTATGTGCAAAGCCGGTTTCGCCGGAGATGATGCGCCCCGTGCCGTGTTTCCGTCCATTGTCGGTCGACCACGCCACCAGGTAAGTGATAATTGTCTTTAGTTTGTTCCAAGTGTAGTTAGCCTCGTTGCATATAATTTCGTGATGAATGGTAGTCACCTTAGAAGTGATGGTTAATTGCACCCATTTTGGTGGAGTAAGCAAATACTTGATCTAACTTAGCTTGTTCATGTATGCGACACGGCAACCTAAACCATAGGACCAGGAATGGCAAACCACGGGAGACCTCGATAGGATAAGTGTGCGGTGTCATGCCGGATGATCAGGCATCAAAGATAGTTTTCATTGTTGGTTATTCAACTGACAAATCAAAGGCAATGAAAGACAGTAGGAAAAAATAGGTGAAACGAAATACTGGTGGGTATACTGTAACGTTTCATTGAACACCTCTTTGTCACATATTTGTCAGTGATCTCAACCGGTCACCAACCGGTTTTCATAAAAAGTCGATCTACTTATGCCATGCAGTTCTTACGAGGGCATCAAATGTTTCACACAGAGCACCAGGAGAATAAATTAGAGTTTCACGATTAGGGTAGGCATAATCCTCTACTCCCTCCAATCAATCGGAGTCAATGAATTAATGAACATACTCTCATTTTCCGAAGTATTTTAGTTTAACCAAAGGTGAGGGAGTGAAAATAAGCTTCTGCTTGAAGCCGATCATAAAAAATTAAAAATTCTGCACAATTTAATGTATCCTGATGATAATGCGCACAGAGAGTAGAAAACAAGTACCATTAAGAAAATGATGTAATTGGACACAAGAACGTTCAACTGCATTGTTTTTCCTCTACCATACTCTAAATATGATATCGTAGGATGACAGAGTGGTCATAGACGAGCAGACGGACTTGTTTGTTAAAAAGATAGAGAACAAAATGCCCAATCGATCAATATTTTGACAAAATAAGACTGGTGTTATGTTAAACTCAGACAACTGTGTGATTGTTGTATTTAACTAACAATATTTCTGTGAAATCTCCGTCAGGAACGACTTCCACGTTTATGTGGACCTGAAACTGAAGCTTAAAAACCTACTGGGAAAACAAGTGCAAGTATTGTTTAATCTGTTGATGAAAATAGCATTTCTATTAATGTACCGCATGAACATATCAGTACAAGTTATTGGACGTGAAATTTCCTGTCCCCCTCCTAGTGATAAAAGGGCTTAGTGCAGTCGTAACTATGTATAGACAATCCATCCGAAATGCATTTCATCAGTCTAACAGCAGCTTTCTAGCTGTCAGTCACTACAGTGTGCTTAGAAGAAGCGAGGGAAATGACTAACCGGAAATACCAGTTGTCAGTCGAGAGTTGCAACGCCCATCGTGATCGAGTGTCACACAAAACGCACGTGGCAGAGCGATTTGATGGTCCTATTTGACATTCGTTTGCATACCGTGATCATGGGCGATATCGTGGAATTGAATTCGGTCTGATATACCTATGAAAGTACGCCTTTGATCAGTGGTATTCAACGTTTTCAGTGATCGCAAAGGAAAAGAATACTGGAGTATTAGTCACATCGCACTGGAAAGGATAACGATTAGGGGGCCGTGGATAGTACTGGCGAGTTTGTCGTGGTTGGAGTTACTCATGTATAAATATTTGAGAATTGCGCGCTGAGATTCGTCATACCAACGGGAACCAACTAGTGGATGCCAAAATCAGTGGTCGTTATTTCGGAAATATGTATTCCGTAGGTATGGATGTAAAAAGAGTGAGACGCCAAGATAAGCTAATTTAGAATAAACATCACATTCAACGGACAATCAATATTTTCAAATGAAGATTTCTCAGAAATTCACCATAACTGATAAAGTGCCATGGGATTATTTAAAATACAACCGAAAATCATTCGTACAACTGAAAATTCCTATTTTGCTTAATTTCAGGGAGTGATGGTCGGTATGGGTCAAAAAGACAGCTACGTCGGTGATGAGGCACAATCGAAACGTGGTATCCTCACACTGAAATACCCAAT